TTTTTATATTTAATCAAGGGGTAAGGAAGGCCTTTGAAGCATGAAATATAATTCTATGAAATAAACTATGTAAATGAGGGAATTCTATATAAAGAGGGAAGAAAGTTGCATTCTTTAAAAATGTCGGGGCTGGCCCCGAGGCTGAGTGGTTAAGTTTGCGTGCTCCGCTGCAGGCAGCCCAGTGTTTCGTTGGTTCGAATCCTTAGCACAGACATGGTACTGCCCATCAAACCACGCTGAGGCAGCGTCCCACATGCCACAACTAGAAGGACCCACAACGAAGAATATACAACTATGTACTGGGGTACTTTGCGGAGAAAAAGGAAAAAAATAAAAAATCTTAAAAATGTCAATGTCATAAAAGACAAAGAAAAGCTATAGAAAAGTTCCAGATTAAAGGAGGCTAAAGAAACGTGACAATTAAATACAATGTCTGACCCTAGACTGGATTCTGTAGTACAGAGGGAAAGGTGCTATTAAAAAATTATTACTGGACCAGTTGACAAAATTGGAATACAAGTGGTGGATTAAAGTATCAAGGTTAACTTTACTGTAGTGGATAACCGTATTCTGTTCCTGCAAGAGCATATACTTATTCTTCAGAAAATACACATTCAATAATATGAGGGTAAAAGCCATGAGGTAACTTACCAACAAAATTTCTGTTTATAATAGAGAGAGAGAGAATTACAAAGAGCATGGGGTAAAGTGTTAACAACAGATAAGTCTGGGTAAAGAGGATATGAACGTTCTTTGTATTATGTTTTATTCTTGCAACTTTTCTGTAAATTTGAAATTATTTTCAAAATAAAAAGTTTTTTTACAAGAGGATAGAGTAGAGATATAAACATCAACCTGGTGAAATATCCGGAACATATTTTGGATGGGGAAAGAAGGGCAGGATTCAGAAATAATATAATATGTTATGATCTTACTTGGGTTAAAAATATTTATGTATGCACAGATATAGTTTGAAAAGATATATAAAAAGGAATTCTCCCTGAGGAGTGGGACTACAGATGAACAGGAAAGGGTACTTGGACTTCCTGCTTCACATACCGCTATACTTTACACCGCATAAACTACATTTATAAACTGGCAGATAACTAAAATGACCTTGGGAATGTTGTTATCTACATAATCATGACAATCTTACATGAGATAGATAGGTACTAGATACAGAAACAAATTACAAAGCACTAAAAGGTTGATTACACAGGCGAAGCCACACATAAAAATTCAGATTATAAACCTAGGTTTTTCCATTCTTCACTTCACAATAACAAAAAAGATAAAAGTCTAAGGAACACAGCCCAGTGATGATGATGATGATGATACTGATGATACCAGTGATTGCCACTTAGTGATGACCTCTTAAATGCCAAGTGTTGTGCCAGATGGTTTATATATTTTATCTAATCCTCACAACAATCCTTTAAGCCTTTAAATGAGGGAGCTGGAGTTAAGTGAATATAAGTCCCTTGCCCAAAGTTGCAGTGTTAGTAAGTGGCAGAACCAGAATTAAAGTTGAGGATAGTCAGACTCTAAAGTTCATGTTCTTTTCCCTACAACAGCTAAATTGCCTCTCAATAAAATAGAAATAGAAGGAAACTTCAATAAAATACATATCTTGAAAGAAAATTTAATTTCTAATAGTAAAAAATGTGGTGTATCTGGATGAATAATATTTAATTTTATTTATAATAAGCATGGAAAACTCATCTTTATCACACAATTCTGCCTTAGCTCTCGCTGTTTCTACTTAAGCTTCACAGTAGCTCTTTCTAGTAATCTGTCCTCAAGACCAATGTATCAAGTAAAGATCTAAACGCAACATAAGTCACGTTTGCATCAGTAAAGGCCTCTCAACTGGAAAAAAAGAATTATCCTCCCCTGCAAGCATGTGAGATTAAATATTTACTCTCCTCATTCCTCCGTAACAGCTAATCCAAGCTTCATTACTGTCAAGCTTCTGAGTATTTACATAAATGATAGGTTTGTTATCACTTACAACTGAATTCAGCAGATTACATGCAAAATGTGCAAAGACGTGATTAAAAAATCTTTGATCTTATAATCAAAAGAGTAAGCAATATTAATTCATTTTGGCAAGTGCGATACATACACTTTATTGTAATACTATTTTGCCTTTGAGATTACCACACTACAATAATTATTATTCATTAATGAAGGTTTGTTGCTATGTAATTTCACTGTGGTTCAAGGCAATAACACCGTTTCTAGAGAATTAGTTAAATTTGGTGTGAAGTTATTTTATTAAATAGTCATATACTTTGTAAAACATAAATTTTACCATCACAGTATTTGATTGTATAAACTCATAGACAGAAATATCATGGAGAACTATGTAAATAGGAAGAGTGAATAATCTTTAGATGGAATAGTGAATGAACTTCATATTCAAAAGCCCACTATATTTCTGGTAATATTCATATTGTGAAGCTAAAAAAGAAAAAAACCTCCTAAATCTTATCGCTGCCCCACTCTAATAATGGAATAGATGTAAACATAAATAACTATAACACAAAGAAGGATACACATTACTGTTGCAATGAAAAAATAAGTGGTGTGCTAATTATTCCTGGAAGGATCCTAGAAAGACTTCATGGAAAAGATATCATTTGAATTAATCTTTGACAAATGGGCAGGACCAGATAGTAGTAGAAAAAAGGAGGGATGGAGCAGGATGTAAAAGGCATAGAGTCCTGAATGCCAGTCTAAATGGTGAATCTTGATTCTACAATAAATAGAAAGCTACAGGTTTTTAAGCAAAAAAGTAATACGATCAGAGCTATGAAAAGTACTCTGAGGGTACTATGAAGGGAACATAAGATTAGGAGAAAATTATGGGCCACAAAACCGGTGGTGAATCACTTGCTTGTCTGTCTGTCCCCACAGTAAGTTGTCATGGGCTCCTCCAGGCCAGACCCTATGTTTTCCACAACTTTATAATCCCCAAGCCACACATATTTAACAAGTGCCGCTGAATGGATGGATGAAAGGGAATGAGCTCTTACTATGGTGGTGGGGATGAAAAGAAATGAGAGACACTATAATTGATGAGGTAGCATCGTAAAGAGATGTGAACTGTTTGGATGTCGATGGTGAAGGAGACAAAGGAATAAAATCATTACTTAATTTACCCCGATAAAAATTTATTGAGTACTTACTATGTGCCAGAAGTGTGGTAGATGTTAAATATACAAATGTGAGTTAAAATCTGGGTCTTGCTATTAAAGAACTAGGGGTGACAGTTAAGTAAATAGATAAATAATAATATAGATAAATAAAATAATATGCAATAATATTGCATATACATATGCAATTATGTGCATACAAAGTTCACAAATAGTAAAGAAAGAAAGAATTTATTTTGTCTGGGGAGAGCAAAGGAAGACTCCATTGAAGAAAAGCTGGTTGAGTAGGGCTTAGAAGAATAAATAGACGTTTTCAGGGTTAGGAGGTGCAGGAGGTCATCTCACACAGAGGAATTAACATTTGTTAGTATATAGAGGTCTCAAAAAACTTTTCTAGTCTGTGTGCGTGTGTGTGTAAGTATTTTTGGTATAAGTAGTTTGGCATTACAAAAGCATAAATTGCAAGAGGGAACTGGGAACTAATGGGAAATGAGATTGGAGAGCTGAGTAGGGGATAAAGTCCTTGCATTGCAAGCTAAGGAGCAGGAATTTTATTCTGTGAGTGAATGGTAGGCAGTGAAAGCTTTTAAGCTGCATAGCAGCAGGTAGATCTACCTTTAGAAAAGGGCAGATGAGAAGCATGTTGATGAAAGCTTGGCCAATGGAAGGGTCAGAGCAGACGAGGAGGGGAGTGAGGAGAGGATGGTAATAGTAAAGAGACTATTACAAGTCAGATGAAAGAACAAAATCCTACTTTAAGACAGTGATTATAGACAAAGAAGAGATAGAACAAAACTCAAGAGATGTTTAGGTGATACAATTGAACAAATTCCGTGACATGGGATGTGAAATAGCTGATATCCAGCTTTTCAGCTTGAATCACTAGGTTGAGAGTGGTGCCACCAAATGAACATTCAGTTTGGGAAATGCAGAGCCTGAAGCATCTGAGCTACACTCACAGGAACGTTTCTAACAGGCAGTGAAATTTATGTCTACGACTTAGCGGAAATGTTAGCACTAGTATTCAAGTTACACATGTGAGAGGATGGGGACACTATTAACCACAATATGGAATACAGTTTAGACATATGCAACAATTTAGAACGAAAATTATAACTTTGGGCTTTTGTTTGTTGAGTTAGATCAGCTGATGGGATAACCATGTGGAGATGTCCATAAGGAGTTCAGAAGTATGGAATACTATGCAGCCTTTTAAGGGATTGGATGGCTCCACATGCAATGAGTAGGAAAGAAATTCATGATTTGTTATCAAGAAAAAATACAAGTTATAGAACAATATTTAATATGATCCAACTTTTGTAACAAAATATAAATGTAAATACACATATGCATGAATATATTTTATAAACATATATGTAAATACAAACACAGACACATACACATACATATACAGAAAAAATATATGGGAGGAAGGGAAGACAGCTAATCTTTCACTGGATAGTCCACTGTATTCTTTGTACTGTTACCATGGACATTCATTACTTCTGTTTTTTTTAAGTTCTTTTAGGGTTAAAAAAGAAAGCTGTGGGAAAAAATAAGATTGTCAAGTGAGAATATGGAGAAAGGAAAGAAGAGCAAAAGACAGGAACCTAAGAAATGCTCTAAGCACAAATATAATTTAAGAATCAGGGAGTGAAAAAAGGCGTGAAAGATAGCTGAGGGTTACCAGTCCAGAGAAGAGTGCTTAGCTAGTGTTGACGACTTGAAAAACAGTAACTGCTATTTCATCGAACATATTTAAATTTCTTTTTAAAAGGAATTAATGCTGTATACATTTTCGTATTTGAGTTGAAAATCAAGTATAATTTTGTTTACACTTACATTTGGTTACAAAGAATCACATTTGGGGTCTTTACAACTAATTTTTAATTCCAAAATTTGTCATTTTTCAGACAAAAACAGGAACCGGAAACAAGTGGCTGGGCAGGCTCTCTGTGGTGTGACGCACACTGCTGGCCCAGACAGCTAGAGATGTTGTCTTGGTTCTCATGAAATGCAATCTTCTAACGTTGGATCAAACACCTTAATTGTTCAAAGTGACAGCAAGTGTTAGAACAAACCACAACAACTAAATCCGTTGGCAGTAATATAACTCCACCCAAAGGTCGATTCTAAAACACTACTTGAGAACGCTGCTATTGCAGGTACCGTAGACCTCTTTGGTATAGGAGTTTGACAATTTCCCTGCAAGTTGTTCACATCTTGACTACACACACATAGGCACACACACATGAGCACAATGAAAACAGCCATTTAAACAACTATTTGGTTATTCATTTGGGAATTATGCAAGACAAATTTTAGTCCCTAGACAATTTCCTTCCTTACAATCCATCAGAAACCTATCAACATTGTCACGTGGTTAGAAAATACATGTTAATTTTAATTTTTAAATGTTGATAACCTAAAAAAGGGCAAACCTATATGGATACGTCCCAGGGGAGATGGTAGATCAGGAAAGCAAAACATTTGTTCTAAATCTAACCATACATGATTTTAAGATTATCTGTGAAGCTAAATTTAGATTATTTACCATTTAGAATTATACAGAGTGCTGGTAGAATGTTAACTATATTTAACACAAAGTCATTCTATCAAATTTCCTTCCCCAAATAAAATGATCCTACTGTACAACCGTGAATTATAAGACTTAATAGAAAGTACAAGCTGTAGCCACAGCTCTTTTGGTGTGCATTTAACTATAAGACAATGTCCCCCTAAAATAAAAACTGTCTAAAATTCCCGGTGCACATCTTCTGTGGTAGTCTCACATATGGTTGGAGTTTGCAGCGTATAATTGTATCAAGAAATAAGGTCGGAAAAGATAGAGTAGGGCAGGTTATGAAAAGACTTGCATAAAACATTTAACGTTTTTGGCTTTTGTCAGGCACTAGATGTCATCTTTAAGCCTGTACCACCCTCTCCTCTGTTACTATTGAACCTGTGCATATTTCTTTCTTTCTTGGACAGGAAGATTGGCCCTGAGCTAACATCTGTGCCAATCTTCCTCTACTTTGTATGTGGGATGCCACTACAGCATGGTGACCAGCAGTACGTAGGTCTGCGCCCAGGGTCTGAACCCGCGAACCCTGGGCTGCTGAAGCAGAGCACGCAAACTCAATTACTACGCCACCAGGCGAACCCCTGAACCTGTGCGTATTTCTACTGACACATTTATTTTATTATTTTATAATTATCATTCATGGAACTATAGCTCCTTCCCAGATTATGAGCAACCTGAAGAGTAGGGAAAATGTCCTTGTTCTAAAATCTTTATATCCCAGAGCCTAGCATAGTGATTGAGTTCAGTAAGTGCCCAAAGGAATAAATGAATGCAAGAATGCATGCATGTGTGCATACATGTGGTATGTGTACACAAGGCTATGAAAAGTGGCTTTAAACACAGAGATATGTGCAGATAAAATTGTCAGGGTTGTATTCTGGACTGTCTCCTATGATTCTATTTTTCATTTTTTTTCTTAAAATTAGGCCAGTATTCATTTTGGTGTTGCTTTGAATAGCCCTCTCTAACTTTAGGCCTGACCCCAAAAGCAATGTGAACCATGAGGGCCAACACTGAGGCAAGGTCCAGGGGTCAAAGGCTAAAGTAGGGAAGTAGTCACTTGGAATAGCAGAGGAAGACAGAATAAACTCTGTAAGGATGAACACTGAGATTCACAAGTGAATGGACCAAAACCATTATTAGGTCTTTGAGGCAAGTCCTAGAGCTGAAGGCAGTTTGGATTCTAGGTATATGCAATAAGGTAAAAAAAATTGTGGCGATCAAGAGAAGAGGGCCTAGAACTTCAGATGTGATGAGGGCTACTTTCCTGAAGTTCCTCCCCTTTGGGTACAGCCACGTGGCTGGGGTAACAGGTGTGACAGGTCAGGATGCATAGGCACTCTCTCAGCTTGGTCTGGAGTTTCCTATGGTCTCATCTTCATCTATGGGTTTCATTCAGTGAAGCACGTTCCATTCGTTTATTAAACAAACATGTTTTGTTACCTACGGTATACCAGGCAATAAATGAATGCAGTAGGGGAGAAAACACAACTGTGAATGAGCCCCAGTCCCTGCATTCAAGGAGCTCCCAGTCCAAAAGGAAAAACAGACATGAACAAATAAAGAGAGTAGGTAAACAGTGAGGGAAGTATGTACAAGTGCTATGGGAGCTCAAAGGACATGCCTGAGTCTACCTGGGGATGGTGATGGTTGGGATGGGAAGGTCTTAAGGAAAAATTCAATGAAACAGAGTCTGGAAGGCTGGAGTATAAGTTTAGCAGGCAAACTAGGAGGACAAGAGTGATTGAAGCAGGTAGAAAGATTAACCAATTAAAAATCAGCATATTAAAACTTGAGGTACATGAAAAGCAGGATATATTCAGAATTCAGGTAAGATGGGAAGAAGCTGTAGGATATATGACTGGAATTGCGTCAATGACCTAAACTTGATAGCCTACGGGACTTAAACTAAGCAAAACTAGAAGATAAATTAGATGGTGAGAAATACAGATGTCATGAATTTGAACCCAGACACTAGGGAGAATGGAAAGAAAGGCATACGTTTGAAAAGCAATTTGAAGGAAGAATTGACAGAGTTTGGTGATATGACTTCAAGTGTGAAACATAGGATAGTCATATATGAATCTTGGGTCTCTGGACTGGGTGGCTAGATTGGCTAGTGGTGCCTTTATCATGATTGGGAAAGAAGGAAAAGTAGCAGGTCTGGAAGAGATGAGTTTGTTTTTGGACATGTTGAGCTTGAGCTCAAATTCAGTACGTCCAAAATTAAACTCATGGACATGGAAAACAATATGAAGAGGACAACAGGTAGTTGAAAATATGGTTGGATCATGACCTGAATGAAATGTCCTTCTCTATTTCTGCCAAAATTGTGGAGCGTTCTTGGCTTTTGATTCTGACAAACCGGTGTCATTCATGACTTATTTACAAACGTTGATCGTATATTTTGCCCTTCAATGAGAACATGCACTTTCTTTTCTTGTTTAATGCCTAAGTCAAAATAAGAGTGTTTGGCTAAAGGAAGACTAATAATGTTCTGATCTCTATGTTTGCATAAAATCTATGCCTTTAACAAAATTCTAAAATCCAAAAAAAAAGAAAATGTGGAAACATACATTTCTACTTTTCCCTATATGACTGCAAAAGACATTCTTCTTTTTGGCTTCCCAGCATTCACATTGCCATCTTCCTTCTGGGGAATTAACAGTGTGTAGTGAAACATGAGAATTAAGACTTGGGCAGTCTAGCACATGAACTAGGTTAATCAGATGCTTTCTCAGGGGGTTTTGTATTTCATGAGCCATGCAAGGACAGGGGCACAGCGGCAGTATTGCGGTGGCGACCTGCTCAGGCCATACAGTGACAAAGCAGTAACTGTGGGACTGCTTCTGGCTTTCTGACACTAGTGACCTTTGGTTCCTGCCTATTTTTAAGGCTTCCATGCTCCAGGCTCCTTGATGGTTCTGTGAGCCTGACCTCCTCTCAATAAATTCCCTTTGCTTCAATTAGCCAATTAGTTTCTGCCACTTTTGATAAGAAACCTGGCTGAGCATTAAAATAAATTAAGTCATTCAACCAAAAAGAAAATACTAGATATTTATTTCCTAACTAAATCCCTGATTGAAATAAAGTAATGATTACTACTAAAGCCTTTGAATGTAGCCCAGAATCAGAAAAGATCTCAACAGTGAGTTCTTTTGAAAAAAGGACTCTGTTTTAGCTTATCTTTAATTCACAGCTAGACAGATTCCTTCCTGTCTGTCTGGTTATATGATCCTTATAGTAAGCATAGTTGAGCATAGGTAGGAGTTTTTTGTAAAACCTAAGTTGACTGAGGAGTAATTTCAGTAGGTTTTTTTTCATTTAGTTTTAAATTGTAAAAGACATTTTTCTGCAGTTAAGTATCTAAATAGGAAAGGGATATTATTCTTATTAATTTGGTAACATTTCTTGAGTGGTTATTGCGTGCAAAGCAAGGTGTTAGATGTTGAAAGTGTTTTCTCTTCCATCATTTTGCATTTTACAGCATTTAGCATATCGATGCTTGTAATAATAAGTTCCTGTCCTTATGGAGTTTACCTTCTAGTGAGAGATACATGGGGAAAAAAAGATTAAGACAAAACAGTAAGTCATAGTATGCACTATGAAGCACACTATGCAGCTGAGATGGTGACGCATCATGAGACTTACCTTAGATACAGTGGCCACAGAAGGCCTCCCAAGGATGAGGCTAATATGCTAAGACCTAGAGGATGAGAGGAGGCTGCTATACAGTGTGGAGAAGCTCATGCTGGTTTCATTATCACCCGTTGTCGGACTTTGGGCAATTTATTTAACCTTCTGTGTCTTTGTTTCCTCATCTGTAAAATGTAGAACACAATAGTACCTATTCCATACTACTGTTATGAGAATTAAATGTGTGCATATGTCGGGGGCTAGTTAGAACAGTGCCTGGCACACATCAAGAGCGAAATAAGTCCTAGTTATTCCTACTATTTGAAAAAGAGGAACAAGCATTTGCAAAAGCCCAAGGCAGGAAATTAATTAAACTGAAATAAGATTAGTGTGGCTAAAGGAGAGTGAGTAAAGAGGTGAGTGGCACAAGATGAGGCTGGAAACACACAGGGTCAGATCATGAAGAATTTAAGCAGGAGACTGACGTTATTGGACATATGTTGCACGATTATCACTTCACCTGCTAGGTGGAGAATGAATTGGAAGGGAGCAAGAGTAGAAGCCTAGTGACCAGCCAGGAGGGTGTTGTACAGTGGTCAGGGTGGGAGATGATGGTGGCTCAGACAGAGGTGGAAGGAGAGGAGAGCCGGAGAAGAGAGTGCTCTCAAGATATTTTTTGGAGATAGATTTAGTAGTATTTTTGAAATGACTGAGTTTGGGGAGAAGAGAAAACAGGGGGAAGATCAAGGCAGATTCAAATCTAGACCAACTAGTCAAAATATGGTAATCACTTACTGATACAAACTATTGATCAATGGAACAG